GGAAATTAACAAACGAGCAGATACGCAACAATATTATCTACAAAAAACATAGGATATCGCTATGGATAACAACATTGCTATTGCTCCCGCTATAATTTTTATTCACACCTTTGAAAGCTCTGCAATTTTGCAGTGGGGGTTTAAAACTGGACAAAAATCTGATAGGTGGCATTGTTACATTGATGACATTTTCGGTATTGGGAGTCATGACATTAAGTTCATCTTAGAATTTTTGGATTTCCTTAACAACTTACATAAAACTATTAAGTTTACATTTTAGCACACTGGGAATTTTTTCAGGGTCTAGCTGTTTCTGATACCTTAGTCTCTGTTGAAAATAACAAACTTATTATTAAAATGTACTAAAATAATGTGTTAACCCATTGATTTTACATGTCAATTCACACCATCCACCTAATACCAAACACGTGACATTACTATTGTTAAGTCAGTTTTTAATTTCTGTATGTGTTCTTTTCAGTTATTAGTTTGTATTTGTATGTGACGCTGTGACCCTTTAGAAAGGCGTAAGCCGAAATGTCGGATTTAAATAAAATCGTTGAATGGAGTGCGGTTAGTCGTTTTTTTTTCTTCTTGTAAACCAATTTCAATTTTTCAGGCTACTGTCTGCTCTGCAAAGTTTAAAAACTGACAAGTTTTTGTTTTACATATAACTATTTTAATAGCAAATGGATACCAGATTCTCAGCATTATACGATTTCACATTTTAAAACCCCTAAAACAACAATTCTAGGGAAACAGATCTTAGATTGGTGTGCTATATTGTTAAGTAAATATGGCGAATAATGCGCAATATAATTTTGTTGTTTTTCAATACTTATAGTGCAGCGAACATTTCACCCTTGCTGCTTCATCAGGTCTAGTTGTAAAAGAAGAATTTATTTTATTCCTTCAATTTTTTTGGTTGTTTTTCATTTGTTACACTTTTAATCTCGGATGTTAGTGTTGTTGTAAACGTATCAATGTCTCCTAAGGCCCATGGACTATTCCTTCAATGAAGGAATTGTGGGATATGTCAAAATTCTTACTAACAGTTACTTTTTGTTGCTATTTTATAATAGAAAGTTGGAAAAATATTACCATTAAATAAACAAATGTTCTAAAAATAACTAAAAGATGATACCTTATTATTTCTGCTTAATTAAACCGAACATTAAATTTATGTTTGGTCTTACACTAGTTTCCGTTAGGGGGCAACCATTGCAGGTCAGAGATCCCTCATAGTGTAATATCCTTTTTCGTCTAGCCAGGTTAGGAGCTTCAGGAGCTGTATAAGTTCTGAAAGTTATATCGTTGAACATCTCCCAGAAATGAAGATTTTTAAGGATATTATAACAGGTACTTTAAAAATCTTAATTAAGAAAATAATACTTACGTTTATTGAGAAAGTTTTATTTTCCTCATATTTGTTAATTTATTTTCCAGGTGATGAGATGTTCACCGACAGCTTTAAGTATACAGTTATAGATGATTGCTTGTATGAAGTGGAATGTAAGGTGAGTTAGGCCTAACTTTAATTCTACTGAGACTGATAGTTCAGTTATTCTAAAAATGTTAATAACGCAATCTTGAGGGTCATCTAAGAAAAACAAAATTTTGAAAATGGAGGAACAATAAATATTTTCTTAGTTTCTTTGTATTATTAATGTCAATTTTTTGTCCTATTATATAAATTATAATTATTTAAAAAGTGTAACGTATATTTGGTATTACTATTACTAGTATTAATTTATCCCTAACTGACATTGTAATGTTCTGTGAATGTGACACTTTTTATGTGGTTCTAACCTTACAACTTAGTTTATATTGTTTTATATTCTTTAAAGTTTAAATTTCCTTTGGTACAATTTTTTTTCTATTTTGCTCACTGAAGTGAAGATAGTGAAGTAGTTCTTGTACTCGTTATGTGGTAAATATTTATCATTTTAAGTTCTGCATGATTGCTAGTTTCAATTCTTTTAATCTGAAATTTACAATAGTCCTAAATATTATTTATATGAAGGTCTTTTACTAAAATTTTTCTGAAGCATTTAAATAAGAATTACAAACATTGTTTTAGCTAGGTATTTTCTAAATGAGATACATTGCATTTGCCAGGATATTAGTACTGTATTGTTTAGGTGGTATGTGCATATCAATTTTTCATATCAACCAGTAAAATTTGTAGCTTTAGTTATACTGCTTCTAGAAACTTTTATTTAGTAACATTAACTATGTAACCACTATATAATTTTAATATTTCCATGCAATTTTCTAGCATAAAATAATTGTAATAGGTATAAATTATTTAAATTTTTGAAATAGTTAGGCAGGTTTGTCCTGGAAGTCATTACCTTAACGTGACAGTAGTGAGAGTTGACATTTAGATGAGACAGTTCGATATTTGACAGACAAGTAAAGCTCTGGAATATTTGTTTTTGGTATAAAAACATTCTGGGACCTTTTATTTGTTTGTAAAGATTGAATTGAAAATGTGTAAGCAATTTTTTGATGTATGGAAGGGATAGGGCACAGCCATATTGAACCAACAGAAATAAACACTGAATGGTAAAGTGAAGACCTGTTTCTGCTCTGTTTGGTGGGTTAATCTAGCCTATGTAAATTAGGCCTAGGCAGAAAATTGTGGTTGTAGTAACCTAATGCATCTTGGAAAAAGGCCCCAAACTCTAGACATTTTATGCCTTTTGTAGCAAAAATTATCTGTGTGTTTATATAGATTTCAAACAGCTTTAAAAAAAACTAAAATGTAACATGTGACAGACTGATCCAAAATATTTCTCTGCAAAAATTTAATTTCACTCAAAAAAAAAAAAAGAAATGGTAATTGAAAAATACTTACAAAACTGCATGACTGTTACAATACATAGATCATTAGGAAATGCATCTATGCACATAGAAAGTTTCCAAAAATCCACTTTCATTAAGAGTTATAACTGAGTTTTATGTTCAACAATATATCGAGTATAAATGTGATCAAGAAATTGTTCTGAACCCTGTGACAAAGAATTGTGGACTATTTTCTAAATATGGTAACATTTCTTGATTTAATAGACATTAATTAAAATTGGTAAAATTCAACATTATCACTCAAGGAAATTTAAAGTTAACTAAAGAATATTCAAACACAATGTTAAATTTTCTTTGTACTTGTTAACTTTTGTGACAATTTCTTGTCAGTGTAATACAATCTTATATTTAGCAGACAATTAAAAAAATACAGGGGATCAACTTTCAATAACATAAATGTTTATTTGTCACTGTTATTTATCATGTACAAAAAATATAGGCGAGATAAATGACAAAAAAGAACTTATATTTAATATTTACATGGTTCTCATGTTTTTGTTTATTTTCCTATCAGCATTCTGAAAGTTGTACAAGCAAGTTTCATAATGAACATTTCCATAAGTGTAACTTTGATCAGAACTAATGTAAATTTATATTAACATGTATTAAAAAAATAGGTGTATTTTTGTTTTATCATTACTATGCTCCTTTATGCTAATAAGCTTTTAGATTTATTGCAATATTCTAATATAAATTTCATGTTTTTGTTTTCCCAAAACAGAATATTCAATTGTTTTTTTCACGGTAATGCTTATTTAGTTTATTGAGTTGAAATGTGTCAAAAAATGTTCTCCAACTATTTAAGTACAAGTATGCAGTGGTAAACATACTACTGCTAAGTTCAGTAGCATTTAACTCGTTATGTTTGGTGACATTTCTATCATGGATGTTATTGGTCTTAAATGAGCCTTTGCAATCAGAGATATAGCTTGATGTGCAGCTTTTATTAGCACGCTTGGACCAAAGAAAGTTCTTTTCATTTCAAAATTCCTGTAAATATTGAAACTGTGTGGGTAATTATGAATATAGTTCAGCTGTGACATTTTTATAGTGCAAATGGTGCTTATAACTGAATATAATGTGTTGTTTACAGAAAGCTTGTAAGATTGTGGTTAATTTTATTTTGCATATAGGATTAAGTTAAAATTTGTTATGTACATAGTGTTTGAAAATGGATTTATTTTATCTTATTTATAATAACGTAATACAAATATGTAATTGTTCATACAATTTAAAAGGTTTTCATTTGGGATAAAATTTAGAAGTTCAATCGCACTTATGTATTATTGTGAAACAAAGATGGGCATGTTACAACCTTTATCTTGTTGATTTGATTTTTATTTGTTCATAATATATAATTCTATAAACCTATTAAATATTATTGAGAAGTGAATTTGGCACAGCTTCTTTATCATCTATAATTAATATTTTCTTAGTATTATAATTGAAAAGTTATTCAGGCAACTGTATTCATTTCAAGCAAGTGAAATTCTATAGCTCCTTGTCTAAGTGGACTGGTGGGCTCAAAAGTTAATACAAAAGCCCTGCAAGAATGGATTTTTTAAACTCTGGTGATTCCCACAGTGTGGGGGTGTAAGTACTTGTGTATATTTATTTACTGTTTTTAAAGCTATGGTCCTGTATAAAACTTCAAGCTCTTATATCTCATATGTACTCATGTTACAATTCCTAGTAAGGAAGTGTTATTATTTTGCTCTAATACTAGGATTTTTCTGTTCTGTATCATATTTTTTTTAATGAAATGTAATTTTTTTTTGTATTGATGGTACATTCACTTGGACTAGAAACTACAGCCTATATGTGTGAAATGGATTTTAAACCTTATTGATAGAACTGTCTTGGGTCCCTGCCCTACCATTCTATGTTGATTCATAAAGTTGTTGATGTGTAGGTTGTGGTTAATTTACATCAAGTTTTAAATGTAATTGTGCTTTGAAGCATTCATGTAAGCAAAAAGCTGTTGTAGACATGCTTTGTTGAAAATTGTTGAATTGTATTTGAAATATTGAAGAGGGATGTCAGTACCTTTGTGTATTGACAAAAAGTAATGAACAGTATAGTAAAGACCAAAATTTCTAATTGTAGGGTTAACATGTTTTAATAAGAAAACATCAAAAACAAGTTAAATTATGTATATTTTGTCCAAATCTTACCAAAAAGTAATAACTTTAACATTGTATGAACTACAGGGGTGCAAATAAACAGTTGAGCTAGGGGCCATGTGATAAGATAGTTAAGAGGCCACTTTCCTTAACTTTGGGACCACTTTATGTTGATCATGTCTAGGCAATTTTTCCCTTCTTAGAACTGTAATTCTCTCCCCTTGGTAAAAGTATTGTCCATAGTGGTAGGAATACTAAGCCTACTAATAGTAGAAATACTACAAGTACTGGTAAGAAAACAATGCCTATTACTAGTAGCATTGACCAGGGGCATTAGCAGTACAAAAGGTGCTATATGGAGTACTAACATGAAGGTTACAATTGAAACTAGGGGCCTCAGATGTTTTTAGACATTATACAGTTTTATCAGTTTTTCCTGAACACCCCAAATCATAACAAAGAGTGTATATAGCTATTCCAAGAATCCCTATAATCTCAGGATATTGTGGCAGAACACCAATTGGCCTGTCAGGGACAGTCCTACTTATAAAACCAACCAATCAAAACATTAAAATAAGATGTAAGCTTTTATGTCTATAAAGATATCCAACAAAAGTGTGAGCATGTTGTAACTAACTGTACATGTCTATGCTCACTATTGCCACATAAATTTTTAGCCACTGTAGCATTAGCCACACCACTTATAGTATTAACCTTATATTAGATGTTAGTGGGTATATTGAAGCTGTTGAATGTAAATGTATTATATTTGAGGTACTTTAGTAGTATAATGAATCTGTGAATGTAAGAATGACTTTGAGGCAGCTGTTATCAAAGCAACCACTCCATGTGTATGTAGCATTGCACTGGCAATAATCATCAGTACTGATTTACGTAAACATTTATATCACTAAGATAGTGAGTATTACTTTGCTGCAATACTATAAAATTGTACTAAATGTGCACTGGTCTGTATGAAACAAATGCTCCAACAAAGTGTATATAATCATGAACATTTTATGTTCGAAAGCTTGTAGCCAAAGAGAGATCCATTGGAGAGTCACACTCTTTATGGGACATGATAGCCAGGGTTTTCAACCTGTCAAGTCCTTTGTACATGGATAATTGTGGATGCTTCTGAGACTCACAGGCTGAACTTACTTCTTTGCTACTCTGTTGCTCAGTCAGACTTACCTTCATCATAGATGCATAACCTCTTCTGTCCTTGGTAGTAGTCCATACTTCTCAAAGTCAAAGGACTGTAATGGTTTTAGAGTACAAGGGCAAGGACATCAGTGTCTCAACATCATCCTCTTGAAGCATGTTACGAGCATTGGTTTTAATACGATTATAGGTGCTAAACCCTCTGTTGCATTCAACTGAGGTAACTTGGTTTGCGAGTCCAATACAAGCCAGTTTGCTCAGGTTTGATAAACCTGAGGTGTCATGAAGAAAACCTTTGTAAAATGCTGCCAAATCCATGTTCATGAACTGTTCCTGTTGCATTACATTTGTCAACAGAACCCACTCAACTTTGGCTGATGATGTATCTATGAATGCTTCATACCTCATAAACAAAGTGTTGAATTCATATTCATCCTTATCAGCTGCTGCTAGATGGTGCACTGGGCTTAACAGCTCAAAATTCATCATGGGGTTCCTGTCAGGAAAGATAACAGCAAGTCTGTTATCAAATTCCTCAAGAAATGGTTCAGCAGCAGCTTGGAACTTTTCCCTCTCAGATGGAGAATCATTTATGTCATGTCCATGGAAGACAGCATAGCCACTTGGACATGGCTGGTCTGGCATTATATCTAACACCTGCTTAGTGTGAGGGCCTGGTGATGTAAGAAGACTCTTAGTGCAAGTCTGGCAGCATCTACCCGTGACATGACTGTTGTGTATTATTTACAGTATAGGACTCCTTTCTTCTGCATGACTTTTGACAAGATTGCTAAAACACCCACTGCATCACACAGAAAGTGTCATCATACATTTTTAAGATGCCATCAGTGTCATGAGATCGTGTAATACTGCCCTGCCTTCATGGCCATACTCAGCACCAGCTGCAGCAAGACAACTAATGACTGCCCCCATGGAACATAAAGTAAACTTTCTTTTTGTTTTTTCATAAACAGATTTTAATGTGGTATTTTTAACTGAATTTGCATTTTTGTTAAACTTCTTAAATGCTTTGTCTACTATATTTGGTTCAAATCCTCTATCAATAGCTATATACTTAATTAATAAC